GGAAGATGAGAACTGGCGACTTTGTAGTACAACTTTAGTACGCGGAGTATCTGGGGAGCTGGAAGCTGAGAACTGGTGACATTGCAGTGCAACTTTAGTACGCGGATGAGTCATCTCTCGCGGCTGGGTCATCTCTCGCAGCTGCTCTGGCGCCCCTGCAGCTGAGTCATGTCTCCCGACCACCCGGCTCTCTTAAAAGGTTGACACACACACACATAGAGACCCACGCACTGCCTCAACTTACTCGGAGACACACACACACAGACAGAGACTCATACACACACAGACATACACACACACAGAGACCCACACACTGCCTCAACTCACTCGACTTAACACTTCACACTGAACACTTAACAGATAACTCACACTCTGACTTCCTACGTGATGAAAAATGCTTTCGGGCCACTCGTCGTCTAGTTTTAGCGGGCTCGCAAGCAGCCGCAAGCAGTCAAGACTGTTTTGGTTGGATGTCCACTGATAGTTTGTCACTATAATCACTAAACCTCACCGCCCAAGTTTCTTGAGCATGTTATAAGCAGAGATTTCTGGAACATGGAACTGCAGAGTTCCGGCCAGGTCAGTGGCAGCCAGCTGAATATCACCACAGGGGAGCTACTTGATTCTTTGATGTACACGCGCATCACCCGCCTTATCGCAGCCAACTGCGCCCTCAACGGCAAAGTGCCCCTTCCTTGGAGCCGGACTTTGGATGCGTCTTTGCACGTCTTGGACCTCTCCCACAATCGCCTGGACGCGGTGATTGCTGACTCTTGGCTGCCCAAGATCCGCTTGGATTTGAGCCACAATGCCCATCCACTGCGAGTGAGCGCAGAGGTCATCCGCCGCGCAATCAAGTCAGGGATGGAGCTGTGGCTCACACGCACGGAGCTTGCGAATCCAGACGAGGTCATGGGCCTTTGGCAAACGGAGCTAGGTCCGCAAGAGGCTTGGACTCCAAGACCTTCTCAAGGCTTCGAGTGCCAAGACCTTTCCAATCCCAATCTGCGTGTTACTCCGGAGCTGTTCCTCCCGGAGCAGATGTGTTCATGCAGCCCCGGCTTCTTTGGAAAAGGCGCCGATTGCCAGCAGTGCCCAAATGGCACATACAGCGCAGGGAGAAATTCCTCCCAGTGCACCAAATGCCCCGAGGGCAGCAGGTCATCGGCCGGATCCACAGCTGTGAGCCAGTGCGTTTGTCCTTTCGGCAGCCCGGAAGAAGCCTCCGAAGGAGCAAGTCGTTGCAGATGTGATGCCCATCAAGCTCTCATCTCCGAGCAGCGCTGCATTCCCTGTAGCGAACTGCACTTGCTGTGCGAAACACCAGGCCACGTGGCGAAAGACGCACCGCTGGAGGATGGTTTTTTGCGGTTGGAGGTGCCCTCGGAGGAGATCTTCCAGTGCTTGGATGTGAAGCATTGCCAAAGTTCCAGCTGCATAGCAGGACTGGGGGGTGCTGTGGTTTGCTCTTTGAGCTCAAAGGATTTAACTTGGGGTTGTCGACCAAACATACAGTGAGGGACGCCTTAGTTATACCAAGTTATAACTTGGGGCAAGTTAGGTTATAAGTCACGGTAACACCGTTATAAATTGGCTTAAGTATACTAAGTTCGTTTTCAAGTTATAACTTACATATATGTTTTACTGTAATTATAACTTACTTACAAGTTTTTTTAAAGATCTGCTCCTGAAGTTAGTTTGAAGTTACCGAAGTTAGCATTTTGGTATGTTTGTTCAATGTGTTTTTTGGTTCCCTTGTTGACGTTGATAGAATACATTGTTTTTTTGAGGTACCTGTTTTCTTGACTTATTTTAGTTCATTTTTTATGCTATCTACATCTTTGATGTTTTCTGTTGGCCAGATTTCTGTTGGATTTCCAGTTTTCATCGCGGCATGTTGTCTGAGCGGTGGTCCGCGCAGTCGCATCTTTTTGTTTCTGCGGTGGTCCGCGCAATTTTGCATTGTCAGCGCCACATCTGTGTTTGGTTGATTCAAGGGAGCGTGCTTGACGCAAACGCGTTTGGTCCTTGATCACCATGGCGGATGGTGGGCGGCGCAATAGCATGCAGTCCTGGGAGCTGTTCCCTCTCTACTTCAGCCAGGCTGTGTGGTCGAAGCTATAGTTTCTGCAGAAACTACCACAGTTGTAGCCTTTGATTGCATGATGGACCATCTGCATTCGTTGGGTCTGAGGTTCCCATCGGAAGGGACACAGGCTATGCTATGTGCTTGCTTGGTGAAAAAGGAGCCGGAGCAGCGACTTGAAATCCTGCGCAATGATGGGCCTCTGCGGATGGTGTACTTGAATCTCAAGAGTAGGATGCAAACCTTTTTGCAGAGGCAAAGAAGTGCTCCCCCCAGACCTTTGCCTGATGACCGTTTGGTGTCTCAGCTCTTCTCAGACCCTGCAAATCATTCGGCCCAGTTTCGGGCGGTGGCTTTCCCACCAGATGGCACACCCGTGCTGAATCCACCTTGGTCAATGTTGGAGCTGCAAACTATTGCTTCGAGAGTGCCGTGCAGAAGCACCAACAGGAGTGCCAATGCCCATGCAGTGACATTACCATTTGTCAATCCCACGGCATGCTCTCAGCCTATGCTTGTTGTTCCAGCGATGAATGCTTCTGCCATGTTCAACTTTGGCAGACAACAGTCGGAGGATATAGGCTTGCAAGTCTTTCCCCGGCAGCGCAGGCCACTGGAAGCCCTGCTTGACCGTGCTGTTTCACATCAGGGTCAGCCTGCAACCATGCTCGCCTTAGCTGATGCGCCAGCGCAGCCTGCGCAGCCGCAGGCAGCATTGCCTCAGGCTGCTGAAGAGACAGCGCCAACAACTTTGCCATGTGATGTTGGTCAAGACCCTGCGCCAATTTCTTCGGTGGATCCTGCTGCCCGTGAACCAGGAGAACCTGCTGCCGCTGTTCAGGCAACATCTCCCCAAACCCAGCCGGCGACATGTCTTTGCGTCAACGTAAAACTTTCTCCATCATTGTCATTGTCATTTGTCGTTTTCTATCATGTTTTTGTCACTGATTTGCTTTTGATGAATCATTGCGGGTAAGCTCTCTGAGGTATGTTCTCCCAACATGAGTGGTGGCCAGCAAACACGAAGTTCAGCAGACGCCGTGCAACGTCTGAAAGAAGCTCGGCGAGGCAATGGCTCGAAGAGTGACGCCATGAAGCGACCAGCTGCTTCATCAAATCCCAAGCTGCCCAAGAAGAGTTTCCCAATGAAGCGTCCAGCAGCAGCGCCTTCTTCGAAGCAGACATCTGGCAACAGCAAGAGATCCAACAAGAAGACGCCAAAGGCCAAGAACAATGTTAAAAAAACAGAAACCGCCACCTGCTGATGAGAAGAAAGTTGTTTAAGCTCATTCCAGTTCCATTGCTGCGGAAGTGGTCGGCAGGATGTAGCAAATGTAGGTACGTTCCCAAATGTACCATGAGGTGCTGGAAGGGCAGAGGCTTTACCTTGTAGGACATCGTTCCGCACACTTGTGGCAATTGCCATTTTCTGTTCATTGGGGTATGGAAGTTCAGCGCGTGATCGCGCACCGGGCAAAATGTCCTGGCTGCCAGGACAGCGCCTGTGTGGGAAAGGCTGTTCGTTATCAACTGTTGTTCATGTGCAGTGGGGTTGTACTAACATACCAATGACATTATCTTGAATACCCATAGGCGGTGGTCCGAATACGAGATCAATGAGGAGATCCGATCCATGCAATTGAAGCTGCAGATGTATGGTAGCTCGAAGGAAACAATGGTCATGAAGCTTGATGACATCGGCAGGAGTCTGGTGTTCTTGGAGAAGCTCACTGGCTACCAATCCTCCAGCAGAGTGTTAACCGCAATGCATGGAACCCGAGCCATCCTGGAGGACACCCACACCCACATTGTGGCTTACCTGAACATTCAAGAAAATTGGTGACTGGTTCACACCACTGGTTCACACAATGTATGATGCTACGGTTTTTGACTTGATGTAAGAAATATGCGGTGGTCCGCACTTGCTGCTTACCTACTTGGCGGTTGTCCGCACTTGCATGTGGTGTCAGATTCTCAACTTCTTGCGCGTTGCATCATTCAGGACTATGTTTGTTTAAATAGTGTTCATCATATCTTTTCATGTCAGGTCTACAACGTACCAGTGCATAAACCTACAACAAAATATATATATATATACACATACAGAAGCTGATATCACAACCGAACATATTACAACATCCATTACACAATGAGCTCGTTGAATGGCCGAGAGATCTTCCAAGAGAGCAAAATTCTCCAGAGCTCTGGCGCTAGCTCCTCAGAACTTGGTCGAGGCCATTCAAAGATTATTGCAGGATGGAAGCAGCTCGAAAACTGAAAATGAAGCTTTCACCAAAAGGTTTGCGAGACAAATTTTGCAACCATGCTTTGTCTGCTACGAAGAACTTACAGTCGCAGCCAATGAAGGTCCACCTGTAAAGTTTTGGGCTGCCAATGTTGAGAAATTGCTACAGCACGTGTTGGAGAATTCACCCAAGTACAAAGAGAGATGGGGGATACCACCTGGCGGTACCATCAACGTGGTGCTGTATTTGGATGAGTGTACCGGAGGCAACGTTCTGGCCACTCACTCCTCCAAGAAAATTGCCTTTTTCTATCTGGGTGTGGAGGAAGTTGGAAAACTTCAATATCATCAGATGTGGCTTCCATATTCGATGATGCCGTCGCGGGATATCAGTTTGATATCTTGTGGCCTCAGCGCCTTAACCAGTGCATTGTTGCGCCATTTTCATTCTCAGCAATTACGTGGGGTCAGGCTGCTTGGAAGTCATTACAACTTGCACTTGAAGTCGTACATCGGTGACTATGATTCGATCGTACGTTTGTACATGTCCAAGGGGGCGGCAGGACTCAAGCCATGTTTGCTGTGCGCAAACATTCTATCCTCGAGATCAGATGTGCCGTTGGATGACTCCCACTTCCTCACAATTGAGTCCCACCAGACAGAAAAATTTCAGCCCATCATTCCAGCAGAACTTCATTCCTTGTTTGATGAACTCTTGGTTGCCTACCATGTGTCAACGCAAACTGCCAGGCAAGAGCAAGAGAGGGCATTGGGGTATACCTTGCACCCACATAGCTTATTGAATTGCAAAGTGTCCCGGGAACTCCTTCCCATCAGCAAGATCATTTTTGATTCTTGCCATTGCTACTACGCCAACGGTGCCTGTGCAATGGAAATACTTCTTTTCCAAGAGCGGTTGGAACAACGTTTGGGGATTGAGCTTGGACACCTTCAGAGTGCTGTGGCAGAGGTCCAATGGTGCTGCAAAGATCCGAATTTCAGCAGCAGAACCGCTCGCAAAGTTTTGTTTGAACCTACATTGTGGGCAGGAACAAGTCACAAAGGAAGTGCTTCACAAGTCTGGATATTGCTGCCCTTGTTGTTTTATCTGGGGTATGTTCTGGGAAAGGACGTGCTCGCGAAAGAGATCCAATGTTTTTCTGCGCTGATGGATGCATCTTAGACGCACTATATCATAAATTTGTTGGGCGGTGGTCCGCACTCTGACTTGAGCATTGCTGTTCTTGTTTAGAGCTTTCCACTTGTCAGTTACTGATCTATGCCAAATACCTTTCTAAGGTACATCATTGCTTGCAACACTGTATGCATTCCAGAGGGGTGCTGCAGCATTGGATGAAGCTACCAAGAACCACCAACGGTTGTTCCACGAAACCTATCCCAATTCTGTAAAACCAAAGCACCATCTGAGAATGCATTTGGCGACCCAATACCAGCGTTTGGGATACTATGATACGTGGGCGCAAGAGAAGAAGCACGGAGTATACAAAAAAGCGCTTGCGAATAGCACGGGTCACCTCTTCCATGAGCGGGATGGCAAGCTGAGCCACCAGATTCTGGGTAGAATGCTCCATATGACTGTGGAAGCCCAGAGTCAAGAAAGTCATTTCAACCCAGAGCTGTGTGGCCGCATCTATTCAGCTGACAATGTGCTCAGAGTCAGCGGGTTCCACTGCCCGGTCAGTACCAAGATGTCAACAGGCAAAGGAACACTTCGAGTAGACGATGTGATTTTTTGGGATCCATCTTCAGCAGCGATGATTTTGTTTTTTGTGCACTACAAGTACTACAAGGACACTTTTGTCATGTTGCTGAAGGATTTGCAAGAGCTTCCGTATGATAATCCACATGGAAGGAAGTTTTCACTTTTGCAAAGCACGCAAGCACTTTGCTTGGACGATGCTATCAATTTGAGATGCCCAACTTGGTGGACCATCGAAGATGGCAATGTAATTTGTCTCTTGTGACAACCTGCGCCTCGGAGAGAGAACAAAGGAATCACATTTTTCGCGGTGGTCCGGACAATTTCTGAGTTTTGTTTGGCGGTGGTCCGCGCGTTTTGCGGTTGAACTACTTGTTCTTATTAGTTTTGTTTGGCGGTGGTCCGCACATTTTTTGATTGAACTACTTTGTTGGTTAAAAATTCATTGGTTTCAAGCTTGTTTTAACCCAAAAAACAACAAAACTTCAATTATAAAGAAATTGGTGAATGAATGGTAGCAGTGATCAAAATTGAATCGAAAAATTAGCATTTTGAAGTTACGGAACTTATAACTTACTTACAAATTAGATGTAAACTCATGACTACGACATTTTACTAACTTCGGCATAACTTATTTATATCTTTTTCAAGTTCAGTAACTAAGTTAGAACTAGAGCGGCCATCACTGTAGGTTCTTAATGCAATACCCGCGCCTGGTTTCGTAATTACATGCACTGTGAGCACGATCTATTGATAGTGATCTCAGGAGTATGGGTTGTTTTTTGGTATCTCTTTGCTAGCTGCAGAAAACCATGTTTTTCAAGCTTCAAGGACGTAGTGGTCCGTTGTGTGTCGATTGCGCTGAGCATTTCCGCGCCACGGGCGGCCTTTGCCTCGAATGCAAAGATGTTTCTGCACAGCAGACGCTTGGGAACATGCAAAGGAAATGCGGATTGGATCCAAAATACCACTGGTTCGCCTGGCTGAGATGGGAACGTTCCGGTCGTTTTTGGACATCTAAAATCAACATAATATGGATCTAGAATATGTCAGTTGGGTTTGGGTTGCAGTCGCAAACAGTTCCACAACGCTCCAAACAACCTTCCTGCCTTGTTTGCTTTGCATTATTTTGCGATTTTGTGTGGTTTTTTTGCTTGTTTTTTGTGTGCGTTTTGCGCTAATTTCCGGTCGTTTTGCCGTTTGCGCGATTTGCGGCCGTTTGCATGGAAAACGGTGACAATGACCAAAACTACCAGAATTGTTTGGTCGTTGGAAGATCCAGGTTCCTGCCATGTCCTGCCGGCTTTGCAGACCGGTTTTGAGAGGCGCCACGACCAAAACAAAACATTTCCAACAGCATTGGCATGACAGATGATGCATCGAACATCATAAAGCAACATGTTTTGAGTTGTGTAAGTGGACGCTTTGCTCCAAGGAGGTTGTGCATCATGCTGGGTAGCGCAATAGCCTTGACCCTGCTGGCTGCTGCTGCATGGCATATGAGGCACTGAAGAGCAGAACAGCTCAGCGACCCAGTGCTTCAAACAGAGACGGTTTCTGCGTTAGAATGGTCGGAAGCCATTGGGTTCATGCGAGCCAATTCGCAGTTCATTTTGTGGGTTTGTTGCAAAGAGGCAGTGTGTAGAACCTCGTAGATATAGCCGAATCGCGTCGCAGGATGGTATTCTATGTTACTCATCCGACGGCCTTATCAAGAGTCACGTCAAGTCTTCCAGAAGATCTCAAGACTTGAGCACCGATCTCAACAACTCGCCGGGATCAGTGAAAAACGACCGGAACAGAATCGGACCCAACATGACCCATCCTATCACCCACCATGGGTATTGTTTTCTAGCCCTACAAGTCCAGTTTGACCCATTTAAAGCCTTGTCTCTTACCTCCTTAAGTATCGGTTTTGTATGACCATCTCCAGTAAAATGTAGGCGTAGAGTGCTTTTTGGTCAGTGTCACTGGCATTTCGGTGCCGCCGAAGACCTTCGTGGTTCCACGGGGCCAGGCATCGAGTGCCATCGCTCAGCCAAAGCAACAAGTGTCTTCTGCAACTTCTGCTGGAGCAGTTGGCAGCGCTTCTGCAGCTCACGCAGCTGTGGGCGGTTCTTGGACGTTTACGGCGCCCGATCTCCTCCGGAACACAGACGGAGGAGCAAAGCTCGAGCGCTTTGGCATGCAAAGTGGTGAGGTGTTGATGGCACCTTTTTCATCTGCCTGCCTGCGCCTGTGCTTGGCCCATGGATTGGTCCCTCGCACACCTGTTTTGAATTTGGAACAAATCATGGACTCAGACTACATCAAGTCCGGCTTTTGTTTCACCCATTTCACCAATCTATTCCTACGAATCTTGCAGTTTGCACTCCTGCAAGGCGACCTAGTCCTTTCGTTGCTGGAAGTTCTTCAGTTCACCAGCACGGAAGTTCAAAACTTCCTGGCTTTGGAATGTGTGTACGATTCTCGGTCAGAAAATGTTTAATAATGTTACATGATGTTACATGCTGAAACATTCTGCATTGAATAATCCTGAATTTACGTAATGATGGAGGATCAGGTCGTTACTGTGTCAGAGTCTTTTTTCGAGTTCTCAAGGCAAGTGCCTTTGATCCAAGGATGGAGTTGCCGTACGAAGTCTTTTTGCACTTGCCACACCGCTGGTTCCGCTGCTGATTCTGCTACTTTGCAGCTGTGCGGAGATCTTCTCCCGTGGATTGGGTGACTAAGTCAGCACGAAGGGCTGAGTGGGTGCGCAGTTCTCATCGCCGCTGTTGATCTTATCCAGCCAGAGACCAGAGATGTAAACCAAGTTCTTGTTGGTTATGCAGTGGGCTGGTGGGAAGTGTTTCAGTCTCCTTTCCATCCAACAACTCAGATTCAGCCATTTGGAACCATATTTGCTGATAAGAGAGCACCCTTTGCACAGTTTGTCCAAGTTTATCGCTCTCTCTCACGGGCCAGTTGCACCATTTCAAACTCCAGTTCAGGCATCTGCGTGGGTCTCAAGATCCTCACGGTGCTCTTCATTGGCGGTGCTTCGGGCAGCGCGCAGCTGCTAGGTTGTCAGGAAGTCGATGGTGCAGGCGGCGGATCAGTCATGTGGGGCGGTGCGGGTTTGCGGTTACCAATACATGATTCTTATGGTTCTTCCTTTCAAAGTTCATCATGTTTGGCAAAAAGGCAACAAGTAAGAGGCCCTAGACTACCACGTTAACGTGTTGGTTTCGTGAAATTTTATGGATGTACCTTGTACCGGTTTGCCAAAATTCATGTTCGATCAAGAAAGTGACTGGTTGGTTTTATTTGGTTGCTTGCTACTTGCTACTGGTCACCTCCCTCTAAGCCGATCTATATAGACAATGCACCTGAAGTATTTCCTGTTTTCCGATATATGATATGTGTTCCTCATTGTCAGCCAGCCCAGCGCAGCTATAGATCTATTGACGGATTGCAAGTGGGTCGAGAAAGGCGTGCCTTTAAAGCACTTCGCCTTCCGGCCACTCTTTCCACAGCAGCGGTGTTCAGAAGCGCCATGGGTGCCTTAAGCTTAAGCTCAGTGTGTTTCTTTTGTTGTCGGGAAAGGAAAACAAGCTTCCTGGTCCCTGGGAAGCGGAGAGATTCCGAAGATTGACAAAGTCAATACAAGGAGTGGCAATTTGTGTAGGTTGATTCAGTGTCAGTGTCATATTAGTCATGGTTGTTTGACAGAATTTGGCAACTGATCTTTGCACCGTGAAAATAAACCATGCAATCTAAGGTGGACAGGATTGGCTGGACCACTGCATTTTGCTACGGTGTTTTGATCCTTTGCTTCCTGGGATTTCTATTTGCGAAGCAAAACGTGGTCATGCGAAGAGTCAAGGCGGCCATGGTCTACACCACCTGCAATGCGGGAAAGGTCGTAGTGCACATGCAAGGGCTCACCACGGAGCAATCCTCGAAGGACTGGGCAGAAGCACAGCAGATGCCCGGGGCAGGGTGAACATTATGAATCAATTACCCACAGATGACCTCTGACAACCCATGGGCGCCATGATACATATTTGCCAGGAGGGGTTGTGGGCCAGGAGTGGTGAATATGGTGGTGAAATGTCTCCAGTCCCATGGATTGCAAGGCGTTGTGATAAAAACGACTAGGTTCCGTACAGTTCACAGTGGTTTGCAGGTCCAACTTCAAGCAACATCTTAAGCATCGTAAGGGCACAAAATTGCAGGATGCCATGTTGGCCAAACGCCTGGTTTGTGGGGCAGCAGCGTATGTTGCAGTGCGTGTGAAGGGCCAAGCAGTGGTGGAACTGCAGGAGGCAAAAAATGCAGTGATGCTCGGCCAGAAGTGTTCGGTTTCGCGTTGACCGAGACCATGTTGAATTGAGCTAGCGTTAGTGTCTTTCCCAGGCGCTCCATGTATGCCATATATGCCTACATTGACCCACCAAACCACCCCTATATATGGCATACATGGAGCGTCAGTTTCTTTTTTCAGTGGGCTTTCTATGTGTTTCGTTCCAACTCAGATTGGTTAGAGCGGCAACGATTGGGGGGGATTGTGAAAGTATTGCGTTGTGCTGTGCAAGACATGCAATTCTCAGTTTTTTCAGTACAGTACAAGGTCTAGCCAAACAGCTATGTCACTGCGATCTGTATTTACCCGGGAAGTCAGTCAGCTGCTCTGAGGATTGTGACTCCCATAGCTAAAGACGTGGTGGGAACTTCTGAAAGCTTGGGAGAAGCTCGGGTGGCAAGAAAGATAGTGCCAAGCAGTGGTCATAAAAGGAAGATATTCAGGCCAAGATTCTCCTGCATTGGGAACCTTAAATTTAGTCAAACCATCCTTTTCAGATTGGTGCATAACAGACGCTTTGGGTTTCTTATCCAAGTCCAGCCATAGGATAGCCCGAATCTGCCAGACAATGATCCCTTCTTAAGATGGGCAACCGCAAAAGGGTGCACCACAAGTCTTCCTGACCTCAAGTCTTTGGACAACGCAGGTATCTATGCCATGCTGTTTCACGATCATGTATCCATAATATTGCATATTCCTAATGTTTGTATCGCCAGATGCACATGATGCCTGGATTCCCCATGGTACCCTTTCTTGGATTGTACAGACGCGACCCATGGGACTGCCATAGGACTGCCTTCAAAACGGCCAGGGATGGTGCCAGGGGGGTCTGTCTGAATGGCAGAACGCTGTTCCAGATCGTGTATGCCCTAGGGCTCCAACCATATCCTCAGGTAAGATGGTTAGACCCCCCTGGAATCCCAACCATCGAACTGAAGACGGAGGTGGGCCAGGAGCCCTGGGGATTCTGAGCTTTGTTTGGCCCATGTTTGTGGGAGAATGGACCGGGGAGTTGGTCACGATCAGGTCGAGAGCTTGGTCTTCGGTTCTGACACGGAGGAACTGGAGGCCTTGCAGTGGCACTTCATGGCGCAGATGCTCATGGAGCGAAGCATTCTGGAGCAGAAGGAAGATAGTGCCTGGGGCTTCATCCGGAGATACTGTAACATGACCTCCTATAGTCTAGCGAGATAGGGCCCCCACATAGATAGTAAGTGGATTTGAGTTTAGCACTGAATCAAAGCAAGCATGGTTTCCACACTATTGGATCGTATCATTTCGCATGCGAAGTGTCGGCTTCCTCACGATTTCATCGGAAGTTTGATAGAACATTTCGGAAGATCGGCGACTCCGGCGACACGTTTCGGGTTCTGCGAGATGTTTTTTGGTGCGTTTGCTCGTCAGGGTCAGATGCTTTCACTTAAGGAGTGATGCTGGGTGCGAAGCAGCTCTTCTGCAAGTATGCCACTGCCTTGCACTCCAGTGCTGCATGCAAGAAGCCGTTGTCGTGAGGGGTGTCCTTCCTTCATGGATTTGTGACAAGGGGGCATCGCTTTCTGTCTGGTGCGCTTACATGTTTCTACCAACCAAAACATGACACGTGTTTCTACCAACCACGCTTCCTGTCTGTGTGCCCTGTTTGGTGACCTTTTTCAGCAGTGTAGGGACAACTCCAGCCAGGTCACCCCTAGCCCGCCCGCCAGCAGCTGGTACATGGTGTTCACAATTGTTCACATGTTTATCTACCCCAAGGGAGCACGAGGGAGCCGAATACAGCTCCAGGGAATCCCATCTGGTGCAGCTGCATCACTGAGGCGAAGTGCGAAAATGTTTGGATGGAAGTTTGCATCAAGGTGATGGCAGCTGCCCTGGTCTCTGCTCCTTGGCACGATCAGAGGTGGTTGGTTTGAGGTTGAAGTTCAACATGTCAGAGAGCGCGTGCGATCCAAGGCCCAGGTGATTGGAAGACAAATGCCATATGGTTCCGTTCAAACAAAGATGTCAAAGCTCAAGACCTTGGGGTCACCTTCCGGAGGGTTCTCCCCAGTCGTAGTGCAGTGCATTGGTGACCCGTTGGATGATGTTGGTATATAAATCAGGCTTTCATATCAACTCCAAATCCTGTTCCATATCACTTGCAGGGATCCTGGATACCGGTTTACCCAACTGAGCAACCGCAACTATGAATGTGTTATAAAGTCTTTTTCGCATCTCATGATCTTCACAGCTAAGGTGGTCGCTGTGAACAATCTGTGGCTTTCCGTGGCCATCACCCTGGGCATGGCGCTGGTCATTGGCCTCACTCGGCCCTTCGTGCAGCCGCAGTTGAATGTCCTGCAGACCGCATGCTTCGCCTGTGCCTTGTCCGCTGCACATCTCACCTGAGTTGAACAAAATAAACACGCGTAGAATTGCTGTGATTTGAACCTATGGGATAATGATTTTTGAACCGTTCTTTTTTCAGCCCACCTGCTGAGTTTCAGAATCGAAGGGAAGCGTCGGCCTGTAGGGTCGACGCCAAGGGGTCATGTCGGCCGTAGAGGCAACGTAGACGCCAAGAGGTGCGACACGTGTTGACATGTTGGAGTTCATCTAGGAGATCCACATAGATCCAATCTTCATCCAGGCTATCATTGGCACTTTCAAGCGTGCTGCTGCGGGTGCACCATTCTTCAACTCTCTCTCTCTCTCTTTCGGGAACAGCTGACTCTTAAGACTGGTACGTTTGCTCCCTCTCATCCCGAGGCTTAGCTGTGGCGGCGGTGGGATTTCGGCACCACGTGGCTTTGGCACGCCTGGCGCTGGCCGTTCCCTTCGGTCTGTTGCTGGTGCAGCTGCGACACCCGGACTCGCCCGAGATGTTGGCGCTCAGGTTGCAGCAGGACCGGCCGGCACAGCGGTGACCAGAGGGGCGTGGAGCATTCTGATTCAGATTCTTGCTCCGTTCGTAGTGATGCCCTTTGTTACTAGTAGCGAACCTTGTTCCTAGTAGTATACTGCCAGGAGCGCCTGGAGCTAAGTTCGTCGCGTCCGATAGGGATTCAAGTCGTTTGTAAAGTGTTGACCATTAAGGGTTGACCATTGAGTGATATTGAGTGATTCAGAGGCAGTAATGTAGTTGAGATTCAGCTAATTCTACAGGTCTCAAGTGATTGGTTTTAGGCCCTTTGAGATGAGTACACGCTCATTCTTGTTGGTTGTTGTCCTAAAACGAGCCACTCATCATGGGATATCATGGGCACTGTTGCTCACTGAGCAGTTTTGCAAGCAAGCATAGACATGTCACTCACACTCACACTTCGATGAACTCCACCATTTCAGCAGTTTAAGAACAGGACACCAAGCACATCAGAAGTGCCTCCATCGAAGTACCATATCACATAGATTTACAAGCATCAAAGGCATTACTGGCTGCCATACTTGGCGCTTACGATGGGTTGAACCCTCCCTTTTCTGGTCCTTCTATTTGCTTCAATTGGATCCAGCTTCCCGATGGGTTCTGAAACGCGCCTCGGGCTGGGCCTTGGGCCTCCCCTATACCAGCCACTTCTACTGGATCCAGCTCTGAATGTCTGATACCTTAACTCCCACTTTTGAATGAGAAAGATGTCAACAACTCCCAGGAGTTGGAGGCTAAGATCCACGAGGGTCCCGTGGAAGTCAGTGCCGAACAATGTGCTTAGATGGCCCATGAGGCAGTGATGGGAGTCGGTGGATTTCTTTGGGAGTCGATGTTGGAACTGGTTGATTCTGTATGTTGATTTCGCATACCCATAGACTCCATGGGACTGCCAGACCCGGCACCTCGACCTGCCGCCGGTCCACACCGGTGAGTCTTCTCCATCGGATCCATCGAAGTGAGCGACGGGATCCGTCCCGAAGACCCGACTCGTCCCTCGTTCGACACACTGAATTCAATGGGTATCAACGGGTACATCAAACGGTTTACCGTTCTGAAGCGCCTAACTCGACGACGAGTGGCCTTCGCAATGCTTTCGGGCAAAAAAGCAACTACTGACTACCCAGAAAGATGTCCAACGCCGGCTGCCTCAGGATCGGACTTGGAACTGTCGCCGTGTGAAGAACAAGGGCGGCGTATTGCGCGGTGAGCGGTGCGCGGTGTGACAGAATCTGTGGCCCAGAGGGAAATGAATCGATTAGATGAGCAGAACTCGCGTTTCGTTGTTTGACATTGTTTGATATTGTTTCGCGCATGGCTTTAGGACATTGCACTCTTTATTGATCAAAAGTAAAAGCGTTTAAAAGCAGGAGATAGGAGCAGGCAAAAGCAGAGTCCCATGCTCCACTCTCCACCGTCCGGGTCAACGCCTAGGCGGCGACACCAGGGATGAAGGTTCGTTCGGATGGGGAGAGAAATCGCTCGAAGTTCGGTATGGGAAAAGACTTCTTTTTTCCTGATTTTTTTTCCTGGGAAAAGACCTATTTTTCTGAATTTGTTATACATTCAATGTCTCTCATGGTTTTCTTTACCATTTGAAACCATCATTTCTGGTCATTCCCAGGTTTCTATTTCGGACGGTTGGACTGGTGGCACTGAAAGCTTCCAGATTAAGGAGACCCTTGGGAGGGCCCAAGGAGGGCCAGCTGGTTTTTTTTGAATATTTTTGAAGATTGACTGTAGCGTTGATGGACTTCTTGGAAGGACGCATGGAAGGACGCTTCCACGCAGTCTCAATTTTAGCTCCGGAATTAGGAGGCATTGTGATTGTGATGCCCAAGAGAAACGGGGCTAGGGTAACCTGGGTAAAACGGTATGACTTCTTTGCCAGGTGAGTGAAGCTGAGATTGCAATGGCTGCAGACTCATCGAGCCCGGCGGCTTGCCTGAAAGACATGGGATGAGTTTCATGGTCAGGTTGCCATGCGCCCTTCCCTCAAAAAAGAGGTCATGACGGACAGGTTGACATGTGCGCTTTACAGCGGTGTTTTCTCGGTTCTGCCGTGTTTTCTTTTCAGATGGTGGAACTACCTAGAGAAGCAAAACACTACAACAATTTGTAGGCTCCTGGATGAAACATGGCTTTTTCTAGGGAAGAGATGGAACTTTCAAGCTCTCCGAGGTCTGTGACCGCTAGCTGACCATGGTGGAACTATATGGACAGAGGCAAGTCCGATGGACCGGGGGTCTGTACAAGCCCAATGCCGGGTGACGACACGCACTACGGGGCCCTGAGGTCGCACAGTCGCCATGGGTTCGGTGGGTTCCACTTCCATGTTAGAAAAAACCCACTGTTTGTAGAGGAAAGTAGTCTTCCAAGAGGCCATTTTCCACTTCCATGTTAGTGAGTCGGAGTGTAGTTCTATGCCTTTTGGTTGCCGCTTCGAGACTCGGCACCGAAGAGGCCGGCCCTGGGATCGACAGGTACTCGGACCGACACGGCGGGACCGAGGTGCCTGGGTCAAAAGAGTTTTCGTACTCAGTTTTGTGTTCATCAGGTATACTCAGTGCTCATCATGCGTATAGATCTATCGAAGGATGTCCAAATCATGTCGACTTTTCTTTCAAGCACAAGTCCAGTTTGACCAAGTAAAACCCGTGTCTTTTACCTCCTTAAGTATCGGTTGTTGTATGACCATCTCCAGTAAAATGAGGTCTGTGACTTGTAGGGATTTATATGGATTTATGAACCTTTTGTGCCCATAATGAACATGTGGCCGACGATCAGAGATGAAAAACCTGAGAAGTTTCTTCCACTTGGCACTCTATACGAAACCCAACCGCTCTTGGCCTCGCAAGCCAGAGGGACCGGTCAAGAGAAGACCCGGAAGAGAGGTGTGATGTTTCGTGGAATTATGTGGAAATCAGCTTCAAACTTCAAACCATCTATGAACCTCTGTGCCGTTGGCGAACATCGGAATGATTGGGAGATTTGGGCGAAATTCAGAGACGAACGACTCCGAACGACTTCGAAATGTCCGTCAACTTCGCAGGAGGCAGGAACCAACGGCCGCTCTGGGCAAGCTGGAGGTACCGGTCATGCGCGATCCCGAAGTATGAGTCCAGGGAGACCCTGGAAATTTGTGTAGATATTCTCAAGTTTAGTATATGCTATATAAGTTCAATATATGCAAAACATGGCCTCAAAGAATTGGATCCCAAGAGTTCCGTACGTTCAATGCGCGGAATCCCTCAAGATCTTGTTTTTTCGCGGTTTGGCAGCCCAAACATGGGCTCAAGAATGCGTTGTGTTTTGTAAATTTCATGGGCATAAGCCCAATAGCTTGCGTATTTGCACTTCCATGGCTCTGTGTGGCTGTTCGGCCATCTGTTGACGAAGCTTGGAGTTCAGTTAAGTCTGCAATACTGTCTGCAATAAGTCAGATTGCCAAGCTGAAGAAGCCTCAGGTATATGGCATAGGCATAGGTCCAAAACTGGGTACAGGTCGAACTTGGTTATGAACACACACTTAGATTGTTGCTCACAAGAGCTAGGATCAGAATGAAGTCTCATTTTACACTCATTAGCACTTGACTTGATGTAACAGCAAAATGCCGAACGGAAAGGTGAAGAGGTCCGCCGAGTTGAAGATGTTTAACAATTTTTTCTTTCTTGGATTGCCTACGACTGAACGCTGCCCTGGAGTTAAAAATTAGCAGGTACGCCAGGATGGCCAATCCCGGTATCCCGTGTTCAGACTAGCTTCGTTGGGCGTAGTCATCTGAACACGCTACGCCCCCCTGCTGGTTAGTGAACGTGTTGAAAAATTGAACTGCACGCTGATAGCGATACCAGGAGCCCTTAGTAGCAAAACCAGGGGCCCCTAGTAGCGTCCTTGGTGACTCAAAACCTTACGCACAGGTGTGGACGCACACACGAAGCCGTACTCGGCGCGCTCTCCCCTGCTTGCAAACTAGTAGCGAGGCCAGGAGCCCCTAGTAGCGTCCTTACTCCCCGTAGAACGGCCAGAGGCCCCTAGTAGTACCGTCCTTGCTCCTAGTAGCGATGCCAGAAGCCCCTAGTAGCGTCGTTTGTGACGCAAAGCCTTAAGCACATGTATGGATACATACACAAACACAAGGCCGTAATCGCTGCGCTGTTTGTACACAACTTTGTACACATAGCGCCAATATTGGCGCTGCGGAAAAATTACTAGCCACCTAAAAAGCCTTAGAAAGACAAACATAGAAAACAAAACAAAATGCAGACTAAGAGGGCAAGAAAGAAAGATAGGTGTAGTTACGAGGCCCACTAGTTACAATACGCGCAGAAGTTAGCGAGCGGGACTTTGGTCTTATACCGCCCGGGTAGCTAGAGGTAGGACAGGAGAAATAGAAGGAAAGGCACCAACACACAAGTGTGTTGAGTGCGATTTCCTTCTATAACCCTAAATAGCGGGTGGGATAGCAACGGAGGCCTGGGGCAGGGAGGGGTGGCCCGAAGGCAGTCATCATTGACATTTAAGCCGATTATGGGGACTGCGGACCCATTTCTGAAAAACACCTGGAACCTAAAGAAAGGCCTCAAGAAACGAAAAGCAACAGCAAGAGAGAAAGAACCCAAGAAAACGACAAGTACATGCAACTGGAAGTCGCTCACAAGTGAAAAGCCTGGCCTGTGAAGTCTAAAAACGAAGTACGTTTAAACAACCATTATGTAATTATGTACAAAGTGTTGAGACACGTTTCACACTTCTCATCAAATCCTGACTGGAGTGTAAGTCTCAGTGAGCCCTCCGGCATAGTATCAGTGGTATCGTGCATAACAGGCAATCAAGGGGGTTGCAGAACGAAGTCCCAAAGTAAAAACGGAAGAATCGGAAAGGATCCCCCAGGATCTGGGTCTATGCACATGCTGCGCCCCTCGATGGGGATCGCACCACAGCCCTCAGTGGGACTCTGTGGCGAAAACACACTTAGATTGTTGCTCACAAGAGCTAGGATCAGAATGAAGTCTCACTTTACATTCATTAGCACTTGACTTGATGTAACAGCAAAATGCCGAACGGAAAGGTGAAGAGGTCCGCCGAGTTGAAGATGTTTAACAATTTTTTCTTTCTTGGATTGCCTACGACTGAACGCTGCCTTGGAGTTAAAAATTAGCAGGCACGCCAGGATGGCCAATCCCGGTATCCCGTGTTCAGACTAGCTTCGTTGGGCGTAGTCATCTGAACACGCTACGCCCCCCTGCTGGTTAGTGAACGTGTTGAAAAATTGAACTGCACGCTGATAGCGATACCAGGAGCCCTTACTAGCGAAACCAGGGGCCCCTAGTAGCGTCCTTTGTGACTCAAAACCTTAGGCACAGATGTGGACACACACACACCAGTTGGTTTGCGGCAGAAATAACCAACCACATTTTGGGTTTTGGAGGAGCGATCTCATGTGAATGTCATTAGCTTCGACGCCTCTCACTAGACTATAGATGTGAAGATGCACCAAGGAAATTGGGCACCGATCGCTTCTGCTGGAGAAGGGTAAGGAGGCCGGGATGTGGCTCAAAAACTGAGACATCTTCCCTGGGAGTCAATACTATAAAAGAATGGTCTGACTAGGTGACCCGAGTCCAGGAATTTCCTTAGTCGGTCAAAATGTGGTCGAACTGGACTTCTAGGGTCTTCATTGTTATCATCCGTTGTGTCGACCTCAGTATACGTGTTGCTCGATCATCGCTCTTGTGGTTCCAGAAAATCAGTCAGCTTTGGATGCAAGCATACATGCGCGGGAAATCACCTAGTGCTAGATGCATGTGAGAGTGGGTATATAGCCCAGAAAGACCGCCCTGGCAACACCACCCCTGGCCGTTTCTCGGCATGTATTCCAGTTTCATGAGCGTTTGGGTAGGGTATATCATAATGTCCTTTCACTTAACTTGGTTGTTTCATCGAGAGGGTTGTTCCATGTTCTTGTAACTCTTTTGGTGCACCCATCCTCGTATCGATTTTTTTAGCGTTAAACGAAGATTGATGTAAGTCCTGAACTTAAGAAGTCGCTGATTGAATGGACTGGTTTCCTGGCGATCACTCCTTTCGGTGCCCCTCTTCGCCTCTGAAAAGGCGACGTGCGAAGGAGAGCGACGTGAGCGCCTGCGGGAAGGGCTGCGTGGAGTGGGCCTCACCGGAGAGGGAAATCCCTGCGAATGGACGGGCATCGAGTGCATCGATGGTTGCAGTGTGCGGAGGATTGAGAGCAGAGAGGCCTCCGGCAATGTGGCCTCTTTTGGGAACATGACCAGCCTCGAGGACCTGAGTCTCTCACATCTCAACGTCTCTGGGGATCTCTCCTCCCTCCAACACCTGACCAGCCTCAAGTGGCTTTACCTTTCCCAGACCCAGGTCTCCGGGGATCTCTCCTCCCTCCGGAACCTGACCAGGCTTTCGTGGCTTGACCTCTCCCAGACCCAGGTCTTTGGCGACATCTCCTCCCTCCAACACCTGACCAGCCTCAAGTCGCTTTACCTTTCCCAGACCCAGGTCTTCGGCGACATCTCCTCCCTCCAGAACCTGACCAGCCTCAAAGCCCTGGACCTCTCCCACACTCAGGTCTCTGGAGACATCTCCTCCCTCCAGAACCTGACCAGCCTGTGGCGCCTGGACCTCTCCCACACTCAGGTCTGCGCAGACCTCTCCTCCCTCCAGCACCTGACCAGCCTCGAAGCCCTGGACCTCTCCCGCATTCAGCTCTCCGGAGACATCTCCTCCCTCCAGAACCTGACCAGCCTCGAAGCCCTGGACCTCTCCCATACCCAGGTCTCAGGGGACCTTTCACACCTCCGGAAGTTGTCCGAGCTCCGCCTGGCCCAGACCCCAGTGCAGGGCGACGTCGCAGCGCTGGAGCACCTGCCCGAGTTGAAGCTCGCCGACCTCTCTGGGACGTTGGTGTTTGGATTCCTGGAAGGAAGCTGCAAGAAGGACTACTGCCAGAAGCTCCGAGATCTGAACGTGGCCGTTCCGGCCTTAGCGATCGATCGATGTCAGTGTGCAAGGATCGTTTTGGAGCTGTTTCATGTTACCACTGAGGACACCAAAGTGGGCATTGGGAATCCTTTGCTCATGTTTGCCTCCATAGGTTGGGCTGCTTTGCAGACATTGAATGCCAGCAGCTCAGTTCTTACATGTTCTTACAGAAGAAATTCAGGATTGACATTCACAAAGCCGGTCAGACCGGGTTCCGGGCCCCTGGATTGGGTCACCTCCCAAGCTTCAACGCTCATCCGGTGCCCAATGTGCAGGGTACCAAGATGTGCAACATGTTACCCTTTTTAGCGGGCTCGCAAGCAGTGGCTCACTGGTTTGGTTGGAAGTCGACACATAGTTTGTCACTAAACCTCACCGCTCAAGTTTCTTGAGCTAGCTGAATGTGATGTTTCCATGCTGCGATTTCTGCAACTGCAGAGTGCCAGGTCAGTGGCAGCCAGCTGAATCTCACCACGCAGGAGCTACTTGAGCCTTTGAAGTTCACGCGCATCACCCGCCTTCTCGCAGCCAACTGCGCCCTCCACGGGTCTGTGCCCAGTCTGAAGGGATGGCCGTTCGGCCGGACTTTAAGCGGGTCTTTGCAGGTCTTAGACCTCTCCCACAACCGAATGGATGCCGTGAGTGCTGACTCATGGCTGCCCAAAATCCGCTTGGATCTGAGCCACAATGCCCATCCACTGCGAGTCAGCGCAGAGGTCCTCCGCCGCGTCATCAAGTCAGGGATGGAGCTGTGGCTCACGCGCACGGAGCTGGCGAATCGAGACGAGGTCATGGGCCTTTGGCAAACGGAGCTAAGTCCGCAAGAGGCTTGGACTCCAAGACCTTCTCAAGGCTTCGAGTGCCAAGACCTTTCCAATCCCAATCTGCGTGTTACTCCGGAGCTGTTCCTCCCGGAGCAGATGTGTTCATGCAGCCCCGGCTTCTTTGGAAAAGGCGCCGATTGCCAGCAGTGCCCAAATGGCACATACAGCGCAGGGAGGAATTCCTCCCACTGCACCAAATGCCCCGAGGGCAGCAGGTCATTGGCTGGATCCACAGCTGTGAGCCAGTGTGTTTGTCCTTTCGGCAGCCCAGAAGAAACATCCGAAGGAACAAGTCGTTGCAGATGTGATGCCCATCAAGCTCTCATCTCCCAGCAGCTCTGCATTCCCTGCAACGAACTGCACTTGCTGTGCGAAACATCAGGGCACGTGGCGAAAGATGCGCCACTGGAGGACGGTTTTTTGCGGTTGGAGGTGCCCTCCGAGGAGATCTTCCAGTGCTTGGATGCGAAGCATTGCTAAAATTCCAGCTGCGCAGAAGGACTGGGGGGTGCTGTGGTTTGCTCTTGAGCTCAAAGGATTTAACTTGGGGTTGTCCACCAAATATAGTGCAATTCCACTCGTGGTTTCCAAATCGGGAAAACATTAAACACAGTATACATTGATATATATATACATTGTGTGTATGTACATGCATGTTGTCGAAATCATATGCACTGCGAGCAGGATCGCTTCATAGTGAGAATGCATAGTAGAATGCATATATTGCTTTTTTTGTATCTCTTTTCTAGCTTGCAGAAATGACACATGCATTTCAAGCTCCAAGGACGTAGTGGTCCGTTGTGCGTCGATTGCGCCGAGCATTTCCACGCCACCGGCGGCCTTTGCCTCGAATGCAAAGATATTTCTGCACAGCAGACGCTCGGGAACATGCATGGTGAGCATGGTGAGTGGATCCAACATACCATTGGCTTTCGCCTGGCTGAGATGGGAACGTTCCAGTCGTTTTTGGACATCTATGTAATAAACATCATCTAAATATGAATCTAAAATATGTCAGTCGGGTTTTGGGCAGTTCTTGTTCACTTTGACGAGTTTCCTCATCGGGTGCCCACCTCCCACGGTCGGTGAACGACGGAGTCGTTGTCGTTTGATGCACTGTGACAGTGCTTTTGGACTAAAAAGAATGGTCTGACGAGTTAGGTGACCCGAGTCCAAGAATTTCCTGAAACCTTCAGTCGGTCAAAATATAGTCGAACTGGACTTCTAGAGGGTATATCTAAACACCATGTCAGTCGAGTTTGGGTTGCCGTCTCAAACAGAAGTTCTACAGCACTCCAAACAACCTTCCTGCCATGTCCTGCCGGCGTTGCAGAGCACCATTTTGAGAGACGCCACGACCAAAATCAGACATTTCTATCAGCATGGGCAGTACAGATGATATATCGAACATCATAAAGCAACGTGTTTTGAGTTGTGTAAGTGGACGCTTTTCTCTAAGGAGGCTGTGCATCATGCTGGGTAGCGCCATAGCCCTGACCCTGCTGGCTGCCGCTGCATGGCTTATGAGGCACTGAAGAACAAAACAGCTCAGCGACCCAGTGGTTTCAAGCAGAGACGGTTTTCGCGTTAGAATGGTCGGAAGCCATTGGGATCTTGCGACCCAATTCGCGGTTCATCTGGTGGGTTTGTTGCACCCAAGAGAGAGAGAGAGAGAGAGAGAGAGAGAGAGAGAGAGAGAGATCGAGAGATCATGATATTTAGCCAGAACGATAATATGAGTTATACTGATTATATGTTGCTCTTATCTCGACTCATCCAACGACCTGCTGGCTGCGTCACGTCTTCCAGTGACGTCCTCGTCCGGGGCCTCGTCCTCGGTTTTGTCGCTTCGGGACTCGCTAGTGCTCCACTCACCGGGATCCAGTGCTGAACGAAACGGACCCCACGGGTGCAGTGGGGAGGTCCGATCTAAAAAAGCGTCCCAGCGATCTAATGGTCCCCTGTCCCACTGATCTAGATTGCTTCAGTTTAAGCATGATCTTGTGCTTACTTGTGCTGTCACCATGTGGTGCTGTGCTGTGTGTTGTTGTAGAAGGCGTATCCAGAGCGGTTTTGGAATCTGGTGTCGCTGTCCTTCAGTGCCGAAGACCTTCGTGGTTCCACGCACCCCCGGTTGCTGCCGCCGGCCCGGGCCAGGCATCGAGTGCCATCGCTCAGCCCAAGCAACAAGTGCCTTCTGCAACTCCTGGTGGAGCAGTTGGCGGCGCTTCTGCAGCTCACGCAGCTGTGGGCGGTTCTTGGACGTTTACGGCACCCGGTCTCTTCCGGAACGGAGACGGACGAGCAAACCTCGAGCGCTTTGGCATGGAAATTGGGTCACTCATGGTGAGGTGTTGATGGCACCTTTTTCATTTGCCTGCCTGCGCCTGTGCGGGGCTCATGGATTGGTCCCTTGCACACCTCTTTTGACATGGTTTGTTCGAACAAATCACGAACTCAGACTACATCAAGTCCGGCTTTTTGTTTCACCCATTCCACCAATCTATTCCTACGAATCTTGCAGTTTGCACTCCTCCGAGGCGACCCAGTCCTTTCGTTGCTGGAAGTTTTTCAGTTCACCAGCGCGGAAGTGCAAAACTTCCTGGCTTTGGAATGTGTGTACGATTCTCGGTCAGAAAATGTTTAAGAATCATGTTACATGACATCATGATGTTACATGTTGAATCATGTTGAATCATTCTGGATTGAAAAGTCCTGCATCTACGTAATGATGGAGGATCAGGTCGTTACTGTATGTGTCAGAGTCTTTTTTCGAGTTCTCAAGGCAAGTGCCTTTGATCCAAGGATGGAGTCGCCGTACGAAGTCTTTTTGCACTTGCCACACCGCTGGTTCCGCTGCTGATTCTGCTACTTTGCAGCTGTGTGGAGATCTTCTCCCGTGGATTGGGTGACTAAGTCAGCAAGAAGGGCTGAGTCGGTGCGAACATGAGATCATTTTTTTGACCACTGTTGACTGTTGACCCTTAGTCAACCACATAGCGAAAGATTCTCTGTGTATTTTTGTATACACTGTATGGTGGATCCATCAATTGCTTGGATGAAAAAAGACAAACCGCTGTGGAGGTCCTTTCCGGCGAGTTCAGATGAAAAGACCTGCCATTTGGAATCATGTTTGCCCAAACAAAAAGTTGCCATGTCACTGGTTGTCCAGTTGATGTTTTCATCTCCCATTGGCCAAAGACTTTAATCTATTTGAGGCATCCGCGTGGGTCTCAAGATCCTCACGGTGCTCTTCATCGGCGGTGCCTCGGGCAGTGCGCAGCTGCTAGGTTGCCAGGAAGTCGATGGTGCAGGCAGCGGGTCAGTCATGTGGGGCGGTGCGGGTTTGAGGCGCAAGCTTTCATGAAGTAAATATACCAGGGCCATCCTGTCTGGGTGTCCAATAGACTACCCTACCCTACTTACAGGTCTCCAGACAGGGCACTCGGACAGGAAGTGCTAGGTATTAAATAAACTTCATGATACTTCATGAAGAAGTTATATACATTTTGTTGCACGATGGTTGGCCAGCAAGAGGCCTGCAACCATAAACTATTTATACCAAAACATTGGTATACCAAAGCGCTGTTGGATATTGCCACAATTGAATCGTGCAAAGGAGTGTTGAGCAGCTGCATAAGAAGAAACATACAGGACCCCCACATTGACATCATCATCATCATCATCATCATCATCATCATCATGAAAGCTTCTTTCTTTCGAATTCTTTCACACCCTAGGGCTCATATCATTCCAAGCAGAGTAGCATGACTCATCACATCGCGGACTGTGCCAACCCAGCGCGGGCGCGCCCGGTTGACTCGTGACGACGATGCTGAACCAGGTGTGCCTTTGAAGGACTTCTCCTACCGACCGCTCTTCCCACAGCAGCGATGCAACGAAGCGCCCTGGGTTCGGAACTCAGCTGGAAGATGTTGGGAACCATGGGCATGGAATACAGAGGTTGAGGTACCCGAACTAGACTATCCTATAGGTACCCCAGTAGAGTCCTATAAGGTCACTCGTCACTCAACCTCTCTTGGAGGGGATCGCGTGCAGGTTGGAAGGAGTTGGCAGCTTGCAATTCATAACGTCACGTGAGGTTCGCACTATTGCACAAACCATAGTCATGCGATGTGTCTCTGTGAAAATGGTCAAAGCATATCAAGGTCTCACAATCTGAGGTCGACAGGATTGGCTGGACCACTGCTCTTTGCTACGGCGTTTTCATCCCTTGCTTCCTGGGATTTCTCTTCGCGGAGCAAAATGTGATCATGCGAAAAGTCAAGATGGTCAATATCCAAACTGCATTCCAGGAGGGAAAGGTCCTAGTCCGGCTGCAAGGGCTCACAGCTGAGCAATCCTTGAAGGACTGGGCTTGTGCAGAGTGGGGCAGATGTTATGTATTGTCTCCAGCGCAGAGCAAGGAAGGAATGAGGCAATTCACCAACACATGAGCATTGTTTCAACAAAGAATATCACTACCACCTCACCAAGACCTCACTTGTTCATTTGGTCTAAGGGTTCCAGGTTCCGCACCCTCTCCCGCGGAAAAATACGAGACGGTGCTGGCGCGCGGGTCACCATCGCGCGGGTCACCATCGGGTAGGATACCATGTTGACCAAACGCCTGGTGTGTGGCGCAGCAGCCTATGTGGCCGTGCGCGTGAAGGGCCGAGCAGTGGTGGAACTGGCGAAGGATGCCGTGCTGCTCGGACGTCGGTGGAAAGGTGAACAGACGCACCGGAGGAGGTTTTTACGTATGGATGATTGCACCGGATCTGGGTATGGGTTTAGTTTTCCTTATCAATTGATTGCTGTGGAAGAGTGGCTTCCTGCTGTAGAAGATATTCAGACTGGAGACTGGAGTACAACATGTGTATTAATTTGATTCAATTTGTACAGATTTTTGGAGATGCTGTAGAAGACCCTTGGAAGAAGAAGCCGTACGTGTTCGCTGGCCTCAAAGGGCCAATCGGCCATGGCGGTCTGAGTCCCCGCCACCTCCGAGGATGGTGACTCCCGCCGAGGGACTGGGAGCCTCCGGAAGCGGAGAAGCTCGGGTGGCAAGAGAGGAGATGCCAAGCGATCACCAAAAATGGTCTGAAGGGATCTCTACTTCTGCACACGGCTGTCCTACACACTGGAGAAGAGGAAGAATTGTTGGAACGTTTAGACAACGGAGTCGGAACCGTTGTTTTGTCGGGGGATAGGGAACATGGACGTGTTTGTATGGAACCTTTTGAAAGAGGTTAGGTTGCATCAATTGTGTGTTTGTAGGGCTCCAAATAGTTTCGAAGGTGGGACTGGGGCGGGTGCCAGGAGGGTCCAGTCGTACTTTTTGAGGAGGTACGAGTGGATCCCTAGAGTAGTACCTAGGAGAATGGGCCCCAGTCAGTCAGTTTGCCAGGTCGAAAGCTTGGTCTTCGGATCTGACGCGGAGGAGCTGGAGGCATTGCAGTGTCATGTCATGGCGCAGATGCTGATGGAGCGAAGCATTCTGGAGCAGGAGGAAGATCGTGGCTTGGACAAGTCGAAGGGCTGATTTTGAAGGGCTGCAGTCTTACCTTCTGAGAAGGTGGGACATCGGGTGCCAGAGGGGTCCAAGCACGAAACCTACCCCTGAGGTGCTGGTAGAAATTATTGATGTTATTATATACCAGGACCCTCCAGTCGGGGTGCCCTGTCTGGAAGCCGAACGGCCGGTAGTGTGGGGTAGTGAAGCGCCAGGACACCTGGAGGCTCCTGGTATAGCGGAATTCTCCCGTACAGGTTTTGGTGGCATAAGGGGGTTGAAACCCAGAGGTTTTTGGCTGTTTTTTCGTCTCCCCTTTGCCCAATGTGCCAATGGGTAAAGTCGTTCTTGGTGTCGGAAGAGGGGATCGTTGTAGACTGGATCAGTCTCCCTATGACCATCCTTTATGACTACACACTCTCCTTTTTGGCAGGACCACAAAGCCGAAGAAGCCGATATAGATATATAGAAATACTGTGCAGAATATCTACCGCTCCTGGTCCTCTTGACCTGATGCGCCCAAATCAGATCAGAGAAAAGATCCTACTGGGATGTAGTGGATTCAAACAAAGAACACAGCTGAAAAGAGATTCAGCTGAAAGTATTTCTTGTTTGAAGCTCTGCTATTGTCTTTTTTGTGCAGTGCTTTCCTGAGTCATCAGAGTCAGTGGTGTTTGCGCTGTTGCACTCCCAAGTCATCTTTGCATGACTCTACAGCAACCAGCATGAAGCAACAACTAAAAAAGAAAAAACAGTAAACCATTGTGAACTGAACGTGTCTGACACGTGTCTCAGGACTTATGTGCATGTTTTGATTGATATTCCTATGTCATCCAGTGTGCACACCTGGTCTACTGCTCAAATTCGACCTGACCATACTCCTGTCTCATTTGTTTGTTTTTTAATTATACAACTCCTATGTCATCCTGCTGAAATCTTGGTCCGGCTAGTATCCACCAGGTCCTGAGTCATCTGAACCTAGTATATACATATTATATGTATATATTATATATATATATTATATATATACACCCTATAGGCCCTAGGGATCCAAGTACCTTCCAAGAAGGTGTTTGGGGTGGGTTTAGAGGGTCCAGTCATACCTGGAGGAGGTACGACTGGAGATTTAGGGATATATAACCACCCCGGGTCAATCACCCACCCCAGGATACTTGCAAGTAGGGCCACAGGATCGATTTGATCGATTGATCGATGAGGCAGGTGGAGACGGAAGTGGTTCTCTCGATGTTCGATGGAGGTCATGACCACGGTTCACCTCACACGACGAGAAGGGGGGGTAGTAGCTAGTGACTATAGTGTTTAGTTCCGAACATCATCCGAACATAGTGAATTCATGTTTGGATGCAAGTTCCCTCGCAGCAATTGATCATATAGTGTGTTGCATGTGGTTTTTGATCCTGCACATGGGGGTTTTGGTCACTTGTCAGAAGCTTTCACTTAAGGAGTGATGCTGGGTGCGAAGCAGCTCTTTTTGAAGTATGCCACTTCTTTGCAATACCAGTGCTGCAGTTGGTGCGCTGGCAAAATAGTTGTTGTAAAGGTTGTGTTTTTGTTCATTGATGTTTCAAAAGGAGCAGGATGTTTAGTCTAAAGATATATCACAAGGGAGTCCTATAGGGAGTAATCATGGTGTTCACCCAGTTACTTCGGGGAAGACCATGCCAGTTGCTTCGCCGGAAGGCCATGGCCGACACAGGCATCCCGGGTGGCGAGTCTGGGACATTTGTACCGCCCAACAAAAACAACTTTCATCCAGGAGTCACATGAAGTTGGGTGGTTTTCAGTCCCATCCAGGGGCTGTGGATGTGACGACGGGGCACCTGTACTCCTTCCTCCACGTTCGGCATCGCGTCTTACGTGACTGCGGGTCATGACACATGCAAAGAAAAGAAGCAAAAACTCCATGCAGAGAAAACCATTCGCCAGACCAGTGGCCTTATGGCGAGCCACCCATGACAGATTCATACACATTCCATGTCATCAGAGAAAACCATTGAATCCATTGACTTCGATGTCTAAGACAAGCAGTGAACCAGATCTGTAGCTCTCACCTGTCAGCACTGGACCTGAGGCGAAGTGCGAAAATGTTTGGATGGAGGTTTGCGTCAAGGTGACAGCAGCTGCCTTGGTCTCTGCCTCTTGGAGAGGAAAGAGAGATATCCCCGTTCTCTCTGGAGAAGTTTTTGGGGGATTGGGGAAACCCCATGGAAGTGGAAAAAGGCTAACCTGTATTTTCCTGCCCTAAGAATCCGTACGGGCTGTCCATGGCAGGGGTCAGACCCGACACCTTCGCAGGGGTCCGGGCCTCAAAACCCTAGGCCCTATCTGTTTGAGGGCGCTGATTCTTTACTTTCCTGGGAAACTGAGGGAGTCGGAGTGACCATGTCATGGTGAAAAGGCTCCTGCCATGGTGACAGTTGGAGAAAAGGTGGACTGGTGTGGAAGAAGGAGCCTGTTTTCGGCGTGAGCTTTGAACTACATCTCGCTGGAAAAAAACTGGATGGCAAGGCCACAGCGAATCTGATTGTCCTTTAAACAATCTGTTGTTTCACTTCCATGCTCGAGAGTCACATTGTAACTCATGTGGTGTCAAGATGTTGCCAGTCTCAAGCAGTCTCAAGTTTGCTGAAGCCCAATGATTCAATCCCACAAAGTTTCCTGCGAGATCCATTTTGGAACATCCAAACGATGAGATGTTTGCATCCTGTTCCATATCAATTGCATTCGAAGATCAACGAAAGTACAGATTCAGATGTATCGAACACAATTGATACCCAGGAGACTGGTTCCCTGACCGAAACAGCCAATAGACATATTGCTGGGATTTGCACTGGGATGCTGAAGTCTTTTCCACATCTCCTAAGGTGGTCGCTGTGAACAATCTGTGGCTTTCCGTGGCCATCACCCTGGGCATGGCGCTGGTCATTGGCCTCACTCGGCCCTTCGTGCAGCCGCAGTTGAATGTCCTGCAGACCGCCTGCTTCGCCTGTGCCTCGCCGGCACTACTCTCCGTCGGCAACTGCCTCGACAGGAGACGCCTGAATTGGGCAGTCCGACACTTGGGCAACGTAGACGCCAAGAAATGCGAGACGAGACGATCAACATGTTGGAGTTCATCCAAGTGCTGAAGACCCACCTAAATCCAGCCTTTCCAACCCATATAGTTTACTGGTCTTGGAGCCTCAATGGGTGCAGGTCAAAGGGTCACCGCAGCAGTGTCAGTGTCAGTCCTGTCCCAGGCTTGGCTGTGGCGGCGGTGGGATTTCGGTACCACGTGGCTTTGGCACGCCTGGCGCTGGCCGTTCCCTTCGGTCTGTTGCTGGTGCAGCTGCGACACCCGGACTCACCCGAGATGTTGGCGCTCAGGTTGCAGCAGGACCGGAAGGGAGGGAGTGGAGAGCGGGGATGGGAAGGCCAATCCTTTTTCCTTTTCGCAGACGTCGAGAGCGATCACGCAGCAGTCGTTCGCCATTAGGCGTCCCAATCAGTCCAAGAAATGAATAACATCCGACACCATTTGACTATATAATAGACTAGTTACTTGGGGGTTCCAAGCTGCAAACAGAGGCGCCGGTGGAGTCTACTAGCTGAGAGTGCTGAGAGTGTTCGTTCAAATCAGAGGGAGGTCTGAAGGGATCGGCGGTTCCGCCCTCAGCAGCTGGAGGTTGGCTGGTCATGCTGCTGGATCTTTCGATAAAACACGTGTTCAGAAACGGGTCGCATGGGTCGCATTTCATCAACACACGGAAAAATAATTCATGATGCTTTCTGGTGAACCACCTCATTTTTGGTTTGTCATTGTGACAGACCCATTCACATTCATCATGCAGTCATTGCACCCGTTTTGAATGGGTTGTCAGGGTGTTTGAAAATGGCAAACACCGGCTGCACAGTTGTATATTCGCAACATAGGACCCGTCTCATGTCAAAGACACCTTCTTTGCCTAGCAGACTCCTTCAGTGGTTTCAGGGTCCTTCAGTGTGTTTTCCATGTTTTCCTGGCTCAACCCACCCGCTGCAGCAGAATCACAGTAACACGCCGATTGAATACCATATATATCTGATATATATATATATATAGTCTTCCTTCCTTGCCCCAAGATGGTGTTTCCCAAAAGCCGGGTCAAATTCGATGATCCATCCATCCGGTCTCTTTTTGCGAGACCGCTCGATGATGTCGTCCCGATGGGTTCTGAAACGCGCCTCGGGCTGGGGCCTTGGGCCTCCCCCACTGACCAGCTGCTTCTACTGGATCCAGCTGTATGTCTGATGCTGTATCACCATACTTGGCGCCTACGATGGGTTGAACCCTCCCCTTTCTGGTGCTTCTAATTATTCGCTTCAACTGGATCCAGCTCTGCGTGTCTGATGCCCTTAACTCCCACATGTTTTGCATGACAAAGATGGCAACAACTCCCAGGAGTTGGAGGATAAGATCCACGAGGGTCCCGTGGAAGTCAGTGCCGAACAGTTCGCTTATTAGTGGAGGCACTGGAGTGGCGGTGATGTCTGTGCATTGGAGTGACAGTGGCAGGTCAAACAATCGCCACTGGCCATGCTTGCATTTCAATTGAAACCGCACACAAATCGAAACCAATCGAAACCTAAAAGAACAACAGCACTGATCAATCTCTTGATTGATTGCCCGAACTCGGGTGCGTTTTGGGCACCACCAGCGAATTCACCTCATCCGAGCCCCATCCCCACTCCAGGCGGCAGACCGACCATTGGAGCCTCTCTCCCGAGAAACAGCCGAGAGCGCCGAAGAAAACGCCAGAACCCGCGGTCGCCGGCGCCGCCGTCTGCTTAGCGATCCGGGCGGAGGCGGTGGGCGGAGCCGACTCGAAACGCGCGGAGCCGAGGGCGCCGCGGGCTGGCCCAAAGCAGCACCAACGGCTCTCCGCAGCGCCGAACCCCCAATATTATTGAATTCATGGTGGGCCAGGAAGCCTATGCCGATAGGGGTTGGTCCAGAGTTCGGGCCATGAACACCACAGAGCGGGAGATTTCGGGCCAGACAGCTGTGCGTGCACCTGAGGCCCGTCCACGCTCGACTTGTCCCCCGACCATCCGCTTCTCGAACGCTCGGAGGCGCGGGGGGGGCACTGGACGGCAGGTGAACGGTCGAGCTGACATCGGGTCCCATGATGGTCCTATGAGTGGCACGTGTGGCTCTGGGGAAGGCCTTGGCTCGATTCTTAGGGACCCATGGCCCGATTCGACCCTGTGGGGTAGTGGCACTCGTGAGACCCTTGAGTCGTGGTCCCGCACAAATGCGGGCTATGAATGGAATGGAATGATGTCGGTTTTCCATGGACGTGGGATGCCCAGTCGGTCGATGTGGTCGTTTCATGGTGGTTTTGCGGGGGAAGTTCCCGCATCCGTCATCGATGACGGGTCCAAGTCACACCCAGCTTCGGATCCAACTTGGGGGTGCTTTGAAAAGCAGGAGCCATCGACAGCTGATCCTGCTTCAAAAAAGGGGGATCAGCCTGCCTTCCACATGCTTGCTGAGATATTTGGGTGGAACCAGAAGATCCGCAGGACTTGACTTCTGTTTTTTGCATCCACTTTTTAAGTGACACCGTTGGCTTCCTTTCGGGGGTCGGCTCCGGCACCGAAGTTTGTTCATGATGCTGGTTTGCACTGTCAGGCGTATGAATAACTTGTAGAAACTTGTGCTTCAGAGGCCATGCTCAGGGAATCTCACAAATATATTCTCCCGAATCTCCATGCACATTCACTACCCAGAAGACCCATTTTCCCCACCGCTGTGTCATGTCAAGAACATCCCGTCAAGGTCTTCCCCCATCATTCCCCGCAGGAAATACGCACGTCTCGCAGATGAGCTCCCAGTGCCGTTTTTACGCCGCCGAGCTCCCAGAATGTGCCTTCCTTCCAGAATTGGCATCTTTGCACAAAAATCACACCGTGAATCACACCTTTGTGACGCAGCATCTGGCTTTCTTGGTTCATGTGGATGTCCTGCCATTGATCGATTAGCATCCAATGATCCAATGAGAAATTGCGACAAAATAACAGAGTTGAAACAGTTGAGGTGACTGGTCAAACAGTGTGTGGGAAAATCACTTGGCTACGGTTAGACTATGTTCGCCCAGCAAAACATTGATGTGTCATTTCTTGGCCTGAGCGATACCGAAGTCGTATCCTGCGGCCGTTGAACTACCCATCATGAGTCGTGCCTTAGTGGTGACATCGCTACTTGCTTTGCTCGCATTCCAAGTGAACAGCACCAACGAGGTCAACGACACAACTTGCGCGTCCTGGTGTTTGGAAGGAGACTTCAATGTATGTCTTGAGCGGGCATGCCAGCAGTGCCCGGCGGGCCAAATTCTCCGTGTGTTCAAATTCATAGTATGTGTTGATGCTCACAAGTCACAATATAACCAACATACTATATATATATATATATACTATAGTCATATGCATATATATGTTCTGTTTGCCATGACATCTCATGCAATCATCTAGTGGGTGTTCCTCGCTCAAACCAGAAACACCGGATTTCGGGAGTAAAACAAGTTTGTTGTCGTGACAATGCCTGTAGTGCGGTAGAGGACTCGGGATGAGAGGTTGAGAGACCTTATAGGACCCTGTAGTGGTACATATGGGATGGGCTATAAGGCTGTTCAACCTCTCTTGGTCGGGATGAGAGCTAGCAGCTATTTCATGCTATTTCCCTCACCCGCATCGAATTCCCGGGTGGATGGGGTTGCACGATGCTGGCATTCTCTCCCCTGAAGCCCTTTGAGGTGCTCCCGGTGCACCTGTCCCGGAAGCGCTTGGGTTTACAGCAACATCACCGGCCTTTGCTATGCCCGGTTTCTCTCTACAGCGCACATTTACGACTGTGCTTGTCGATGTGCACAGTTTCAAGCGACCGTTCCCTGCGTCCGCTCCAGAGAAAACAACTTTGAGTTGGCAGCTTACGATACTTGGATTGGTCTCCACCAATCGTCAAGGGAATGGAAGTGGGTCAATGGGTGCGGGAGCGACTACAGGAATTGGGGTCCGTGGGAGCCAAGTGGCGAGTGTGATGAACACAATCGCTGCGAAGATCACGCCATTATCGTGCAAGACTACAGGACCCAAGACGGGGACCATTATGCCGGCCGCTTTGGTATTTGTTTCAGAGGAGGTTTTGCTGATACTGTGCATTCTTTCCTTTTGGTGAATGTTATGGAGTAATGTGATGTTCTGTTGTTCTCGATTCTTGTTCTCAACAACCAAGGTGTTTGGGCTGACGTCCGCCATAATGAGCGTGCATACTGTGCGTGCGAGTACAACCCTCAGAACCCCACCCCTGCCGGCACTGCCTCTTGGGGGACCTGCACTGACTACACGTATAGTGAGGCGGAGCTTACCCTAAGCCTAGCAACTTTTAGGTTTGGTGAGTTCGTCGCGGCAGCTCAAAAGCAGCTCCTTGGGGTGTTCAGCATAGCCTTTCTGATCGCATTGAACTGAGAACTGCGTGGTCCATCCGCAGTGGTACCTGGGGCGAACAAAGTACTTCCAGTGACTGCTGGTATAGTCTTTGTATGTCTTTGTTTTATATAGTAGATATATAGTCTTGGATTATTGATATCAATAATATCAATACGAAAGCCAGCCGACAGGCTAGGCTTGAGCTTTTAGAACGAACGAAGTGAGTTAAGGGTGTGTGTGGGGGTGGTCGTTGAGAGGGACGTTTTGAGAGAGTGAACCCGGATCTTGATGGGGGAGAGCGCTCCAAAGCGAGGGTCAGAAAAGCAGTGAAAATGGGGTCTGGTGATGCAAGTGATGCAATGGACGCCGAGTAGTGCATTAGCATCATGAAGAGCTTTGGAAGCTATTTGGACAATGGGCATTGAGCACTCGAGTGGAGACAGGGACCCACGTACAGAGCGGACAACCCGCAACTCGCGAAATCCATAGAGAACCGAAAGTGACATGAGTTCAAGTGCATGAATTTGGATTGGGTTTCGGCAGGGATGCCTGCGAGGTTGACTACATAGCAAAAACTATACTTGTACCATGTCCGGTCGAGTGGATGCTTCTCGCGGCGTCCACACGCACCAAACGTTCTTCCGGCTTGCCGGTGCAGATAGATAGATAGAGAGATAGATAGATAGATAGAGTCAGAAATAGAGAGAGAGATAGATAGATATAGATATAGATATAGATATAGATATAGATAGATAGATAGGCAGGTAGACGTCGCTTTTTCGCTGGCAGCCCTGGCCGAATCCAGTCAGCCTGGGTCCACGGCCCAAAGATCTACACACGCAGTTGCCAAAGTCAAGGCCTCTAAGCGAGAAAGGCGCAGAGTTGATAAGAAAGAGAGAGGATCCAGAAGATGTTTGGATAAAGGCCCCTTCAAAGGAAAAAGACTGTGCTTTGGATTGAGCCAGAACATGACTCACTCAAGTCCAGTCCTGCTGGACCTCCCCTTCTGCGCCGCGGGATCAAACGTCCGTGTCCCAGCTAAGACGTGCCCGTTCACTCTTCCAAATCAACGAAGGCCGCTTTTCGACGTGCCGCAGTATGCATTGCAAACTTCAAACACTCCAAATGCAACAAACACATAATTGCTTCTTTTCAAACGCATGCCGTGCTCGCGCGCGCGCGGCGACGCTCACTATGCAGAAGGTCGCGCGCGTGTGGTATCCACCTTCGCCAACGCTGATGCCGCCTTCCAACTTCCATAAGATGCATGCCTTCCTGCGTGTGACAAACACATGCCATTGCCTTGTGAGTGATGATGACCTACACCAACACACAACGTATCGCATTTCTCTTTCACTACCTCTTTCATAGCAAACTTATCCCAAAGCCGCCCGGCTTGCTTCTCTGCTCCCTCAATCACCATTACATACGCCCCCCCGCATTCACGGCACCGCTGACTCGCAAGCTGCGGACCATGTGTCTTGCGCCGCAACGCCCGCCAGAAAAAGAGACACTCGTCCGGCGGCTGCTGGCTTTCGCCCCCCCTTCTCAGGTGTATATATATATATGTATATAGAATCGCGTCTTTGTTTGGTATACATGTGTTCATAGGAGTGATATATTTTCAAGAAACTGGGATGAAACCGCAGTACTTTCTCACCAGAGGATTGTTTCAAGCATTCCGTTCTTGACCTGTCCAGATCGCTTCAACCACAGACTCTATGTGGTGGATAGGAGCCTGGCGTAGCCTGGCCGCAATTCACGTGGTACTCGTGGTACCCGAATGAATCGGGTGCACGTTCACGTCGATGCTCCAGGCTTTTCTTTTTCGGTGTGGCAGAAACGGAGCCTCGGTGACCTGTCACAGTCCGACAGCGTCGGATGTGATGAATTTTGCAGCGGTGTCGCGGTTTCTCACTGTGGCGCGGTTGGTCAACGCCGCCGCTGGACGTTGTGAGTTCAAAAGGCGCCGACCTAGAGGTCCCGTCGTTCGGGCAACTTGACACCTGTGCGACGTCCGACCTGACCCAAAACGCTGAATACCAGAGCCCCCGGTTTGGGGTGGTTGGTGGAGACCTCAACCTCTAAGGAGCTATATAATTAGACACCCCAAACCGGGGGCCTTGGTATACACCCATGGGTGCACGTAGCCATAGTACGCCATAGTATGTGAAGGTTTCAACTGCTAAAAGGTGATTCTGTCTTGCAAAAGGTTGCAACTCCGTTTCAACTGATCGTTGACTTCAAAAAGGCTGCTCTTTTCGATGCCCAGGCAGTGTGTTTCAAGCAGCTGACCACTCGCGGCTGTGCCCAGCACAACAGCTGTAACGGCGTGCTGCGTGCTCTGTGCAGGCTGGAGTTGCTCCATCTATTCTGATGAGTTTGTCCCCCCCGCAGCTTCCACCCATCAATCATTCCAACTAACCGACCCGATCCATTCGCAGGGTTTGCTTGGAAAACCAGTGTTTGCACCCCGGGGGTTCAGTTTTTGGGCACCCGTCCACTGATCCAAAACACCGCATGTTTGGGCGACCTTTCTGCGCATGTGAGACTTCTGGCAAAAAACTGGCGGGTGAGCACACGCGTACCCAACATGCTTTGCCGTTCAGCTTCTCCAACGAAAACTGCTTCTCCACATCTTCACTCATGTCCTTTGAGATGTCAGCACCAAAAGGATTTCCGCTCCCTGACTGGATTCAGGCTGCGGGACGTGCTGTATAGGTTGTTGGACGGTGTACCGGGTGATGCTCAGATCGCCTTCCAAGAAGCACGTCTATCCAAGTAGGCACCGTGAGGCACGGTGACTAGTAGGTTGTTTCTCTCCAGGCTTTTCCTCTAGAACTCCGTGGATTTGGAGGGTCCATGTTCCAATTGCAGGGTAGGTGGTGTCTATCCAGGAGGGTAGGCGTGCATCCAGGGTAGCGTGCCTTGGCCCATCAGGGCGCTATGGGACGCGAAGATCGGACCTTCAGGAGTCCGAAGTCGGTGAGCCAAGTGGCGCAGTGTGGAGGAACCAATAGCGTGGTCAGACTGACTGTGATGTCCATGGAAGACTTATTCAAAAATTATTGTAATTGGAATTGATACTAAAATATTCCATTATAATGTAAAAACATCGAAACTTAATGAAACTTAATATATATATATATGTATATATAGCACGACCTTTTGATATGTCCTCTAGTTCTAGAGAATACTAGAGAATTCTCTAGCAAATATGCGCGGGAGTAGAACTTCATAGAACCTTAGAGGTTGTACCTCTACAGTGCAGAGTGCAGAGGAAGCTCTCTAGAAAATGGTCAATTGTGTTTTTGAGGATCATTTTCAAGAGCCAGACGCGGCATGTTCAAGAGTCATTTTCTAGAGACGTTTCGTTTGAAACGTTCCAGGTGCCCTGGTGCCCACGAGTGTGTCCTGGTTTATCTGTTTTTCTAAGAGGCGAAGAAGCCCAGGTATCTGACGTGTCCGAACATTTAAGTCATTTAACCTCTCAAAGGGTTCTGTGGCAAACACCCGGTGTCTCTATCTCTTCCTAACACCGTGGAAGGGTTCTTCAAGGAAGTTGATGGCTTTCTGTTGGCCAAAATTGCTAATATTGGAAGCTGGCGCTTATTGCGGCTCGAAATGACTTACCGCAATTTGAAGCTTGTTTTTAAGGCTCGAGATTTTCTTATTGCAAATTGGAGCTGGTGCATGAGGGCCGAGATTACCCATTGCGACTTGGTAATTAAGACACAATTGCCCATTGCGATTTGCTGTTGAGGTTTGAAATTGTGATTTGTTGTTGAGGCCCGAAATTATTTTTATAATATATGTTTCAAGTTTAATTTGTTTATTGTTTTCGAAATATTTTTAAAATATTAAATGTTTTATTATTTAATATCATTGTATAATTATTTATAGCTAATTATTAGTATATTTTTGTATTTAAATGATTCTTATAATTAATTAATATGAATGTTGTATATTAATTATGAAGAATAAGTTATATTATTTTTCCGGAATTTTGTATATTAAAATTTGATTATGGATTTCGATTGGAATTTTTAAATTGAATTAGGTTAATTGGATATTGATTTTTTTTTAATAGTAATATGTGATTTTATTATAATGGATTTTGTTGTATTTTGTTTTTAAAATAGAAATATATATGTATTTTTAGTTAAAAATTTAGTATATTATATTATTATTATATTAATAATAATTTTAAAAAAATATATATATATATTTTATTTATTTATATTTATTAATTATTTCTATTTAGAATAATTTAAATGATTTATTCGATATAAAGATATGTATTTTGTAATATATATTGAATAAAATTATTTAATACATAACAAGGAATATATTTAATATGAATTTAAATAATAAAAATATATTAATGTTATATAATAACAATTATGTTTATTATATTGTTATTTTTTGAAGGCATTTGGGTCCGTATAGATAGATATTAATTTATATATTTAAGAAAAAATGATTTATATATATTTTAATTTAAATTTAAAATATTTTTATATTAACGAAAATTTTGATTTTTACATTGGTAATGGTGTTGTTAAAGAATTAATTGATGTATTTTGTGGATGTTTTTATTATTATGCTTATATTGTATGTTTTTTATACGTAGTTGTTTGTTATTTTTTTTTGTATTTATAGGGTTTTAGATTTTTTTCGGTGTGTTTATGTTATGTATAAAAGATTTTTTTGTTTTCCTTGATAGATTTTGTATTTATATTTTATTGTAATTTATTTGGTTTAAGATTTTGAAACCCGATATATTTAATTTCGTTGTTATTTGCAGATCGTCGTTTTTATGTATTTTTACTTGGTGAATTCGATTAGGTTATTTCTGGGGGAATTTATTCCTTAAAATGGTAACGGAATTTGTATCTTCTGCTTCGCAATGGTCGATTTTGCATCGTGCCGAATCGTCCGATATTCCGGACGGGAAATAATTAAGTAGGTTATTTGTCTGAAGAGTAGAAATTATGGTTTAGATCTTTAACATAAATACGGACGAAGAATATAATTAT